TTCATAAATTCTATAAATACAGACATTTTGGTGATATTTAGTTTTGTGTGTCACATTTTGTAATGCAGTTATTTTTCCCAACAGTACACATCTTGCTGCAGGTAATTACCAATAAAATTTACAAATGCCACCTACTATAAGAAAAGCAATATTAACAATTGTCATGTTGGAGCAGGTGTATGGAAAAGAAAAGGGCATAATTCATAGAACAGGTATTGGTTAGCTCTGTTATGAAAAAGAGCCGTTATCTGGGAAACTAACTAGTAGAAAAGTTACTTTCAATAATTGAATTTTAAATAATAACTATCGTGTGAAATTGTTGTTTGTACATACCTATACCTGACGGTACGTTACATTAATTGTTGACTTATGTAATGTTTCATTTCATTATACGGTGTTCTGTGAATTGCTAATGTCATTAGGTACATAACAACAATATTGTCTTGGACTAAATTCCAGAAAGACAGTTATATTTTTAAGCTCACTTACACGATCTTTCAAATGAAAGAAAACCCATAATCCGTGAAACGGTTATAATAATACGGTTACTGCTATTTTTATTTTACAAAGAAGATAATATTCTGCGAAAACAATAGGAGGCAATTTTTTTAAATAATAATCAATAAATGCGATGTATTACATGGAATAATTTATAAGCGGATGTTTACTAGTAGCTTGATCTCATTGATCCTTCTTACAACTGAGAAACTATGAATTATTATTGTTGCGTATATATACCTATCTAGCATCCTAATACTGTAAAAAGTAGTAAAATATTACTACCCACATCAAAATTTTAACGATTAAAAATTGTAAGGTACTTAAATGGTGAAAATAATTTCTATGAGAATTTAACTCGAATTGAGATTCAGAAAAGTGAGTTAGGGTAGTAAAGCAGGCAATGATTTACCAATTACATGTTATTTTCTTGCTAAAGATCAGTACAATAAAATCCAGACTTCACTCCCCTGGTCCGTATACGGTCCCCATATTTCTATATCTATAATTTAAAATGGGTTACCCCTGTTAGCTATTATAGTTTGTTGAATAATTTTGAATGTACATCAGATATGTATATTTTACTGTTTGTATTAACTTTGTTTCATGCCAAAATTTATAAATATAATATTAACAAACACAGTCCACATAATGATAATAATATAAGAACTGGAGCTTTGGTTGTATACAAAAGCGTAACAAGAACGTAATAACCATACAGTGAATAAAATAGCATGTTAAGGCGTTTGTATTAAATAGGTGTACCACACCACTGCTGTAAAATTTTTGCACATTACCTTGTTTAGAAGTTATTAACACTAAAATGTCCCAGTTTTTACATTCCGCTTAATAGGGTTCCGTGTTTCAATTGGACGTGCAGAACCCTAACCCGAGAACTAACTTAACATTGTAGTTGAAAAAACATGTCTTCCCATACATTCAAACTGCAAGCTTACTATTTTCTGAATTTTTTCAAAATTTTAGGTGCAGTAGTTTCGAAGATAAAGGGGGAAAGGTCAATTTTCATCTATTATTATTAAATAACCTTAAAACTAGTTATTTTAAAATTATAAAAATATATTTGAGACCCTTACAACAAGCCCTTTCGTTTGATATGTCACACGGTACAGTTTGCAGAACTTTTTTCTTTTAATTTCCTATTAACCCACGAAAAATGACCCCCATGTTCAAAATTAATTTATTTACGTTTTGCGTCCGTGTGTGGGTCACAGAAATTCATATGTGTTACTAAATTGCAACTTATAGATGGCTTCCAATAGATTTGGAGCAACTTGACTGTGATAGTCGGACAGACAGACACACGAGTGACCCTATAGTTCCGTTTTTCATTCGGGCTTACGGAACCCTAAAAATAGACATACGTAACCCATAATCACGAAATACACAGTTCTAATAATACGTATTAGCTCACGTCAGTAACCTCTTGCAAAAAACTGTATATTCCACACGATTTCAACTTGTCTAAACGAATTAACGAATGCTTAATGAAATAGAACAGGTGCGCGAAATTCGCATTGTGAGAACTCGTACGAATTTCGATGTTTTGCTCGATAAACGCATCAAACTTTTTGCCGGTTCGATTCCGAAAATCAGATTTCTGGAACACCTGGCATTACATCATTCGTTCCAGAACATCTCCTGTGAGATCCGCAATCAATTCTGAAAATTTTCAAAAAGAATAACTACTCTGACACACATAAACACGTATAAAGTTTCATCCTTTAATAATCACGAGCGTGCGTCACGAATGTTTGCAAAAAAAAACACAATTCTTCTGACCCTTAAAAAGAGAGGAAATACCCCGTTTTTTTCCCTCACGATTATAAAATCCAGACGCACAGTTGTACGAATGTATGTTTGCAATTTTTTTTTTTTAAATCTATTGTTGTCAATCTTCCACGGTAATTATACCGTTAACATGAACAAGGCTATTAACGGATGATGCCGAACACAAGATTATCTGCGAATCATTCTTATTTGTCTTTATGTAAATCACTCTAATTATTCCATCAGTAAAATCCCACTCGACGGTACCATCATTATTGTACTAGGTATTACTACTCGATAATATCTCTTAACATGAGATCTTCAGTTTATTCTACACACTTGAAATGAACGTCAAATTCAAAGATAAATTCATTAGCAATCCAAAAGAGCATATAGTTGTGCTCCGTATTTTAAAAAACAGGTCACGTTCTCTTTCTGAAACTGATAGTGAGATGTATCTTTCTTAAGGTTATCGAAGTAAAACAATTTTAATATTTTTACAATTTTTTGAAATCATAGCAGAGAAAGTAAGGAATATTATTAAACGTCAATATTTAACAAATAAACATCAAAAATAGAAAGGATTAAAATTACAATTCCGAAAAAATCAACTCTCTACACAATTGGTTAGGTTAGGTTATACGAAGTCCCTAGTTATTGGTAAAGGAAGATGTCTACATCCATTTTTTCATCTATAAATTCATAGAGGTGAGGTTGTGCAAGATACAGGAGGGTTGAAAGTCGTAAGCAAAGCTGGTGCTTTTCGACTACTATTAAATATTAGAAAACCAGAAAGAAAAGTAACCATAAACACAATTTTAATTAGTATCTACATATTAACCATATATACAATAACCCATTATAAATCCTTTTCCACACGAACGAAATCTGAGCGCAATTAATAAAATTAAAAAGTAAAACTGAAACGCCTTTGTATCATCATCATAAGGTCGTCAGTCTTAAGAGTGTTTGGATACGCACTTCCACTCTTTCCTATCATTAGCTAATTTTTGCATTTCCCTAAAATTAGAACATCCCACATCCTTAACTAATTGCGAAAAGTAATCTAATCTAAGCCTAGATTTACTCCTCTTAACTCCTGTTTCTGCCTCTAAAATGCCTGATTAGAACTTCATGCCTGAGAAGGTGTCCGACCAACCTATCTTGCCTATTTGTTTCTTTGTACATAGAATGTTTAAGAATGATTAGGAGACGAGCCTTTTTTACAAAAATATAATAAAATTATTGTCACAAATGTAGAAACACGGTAAAGCATGAACAATGCCAAATTAACACATTTTCAAGTTTTTCCATTGTTTGCACCCATAAAAATGTTTATTTTACTAATGAAAATTTAAAATTTTAAACAGAAATTTTGGCTAATAATATTGAGATGCCACTAATTAATAGTATTTCTGTCTTTTTTATGGTGTGTACTTCAATTACAGAATCAATGATTATAGAATTTTTTAAACGGAGACTACAACGTTCGATCAAGCGACTAACCCGATCGAATTCGAGAAATTACAGATGAATTTAACTTCTAAAAATTCTGTCTAAAATAGGCACCCTGAATTTCGAAAACAATAAAAATTGTTAAATAATAAAATTTAAGCAAAATTGTTTTTAATTTTAGAATAATTAACTTTAATTAAATGAACTATTTAATAAATTAAATTAAAATTTTGTCTAATAATGTTAAGTTACCACCAATTAGTATCTAGTACTTCTGTCCTTTTCATGGAAAATGTGTAATTCAACAAGCAACTTAACAAAATACGTGTGGAGACTACAACGTTAGGTGAAGCGACTAACCCGATCGAATTCGAGAAATTTACACAATTAAAAATACCAGTTCTTTCTACACACAAATACACATCCTGAATTTGGAAACTAAAATTTTGTCTAATAATGTTAAGTTACCACCAATCAGTATGTAGTACTTCTGTCCTTTTTATGGAAAATGTGTAATTCAACAAGCAACTTAACAAATTACGTGTGGAGACTACAACGTTAGGTGAAGCGACTAACCCGATTGAATTCGAGAAATTAGAATTTTACACAATTAAAAATACCAGTTCTTTCTCCTGAATTTGGAAAATAATATTTCTTTAAATACCGATAATTCTTAAGTTTAAAATTTTGTCTAATAATGTTAAGTTACCACCAATTAGTATCTAGTACTTCTGTCCTTTTCATGGAAAATGTGTAATTCAACAAGCAACTTAACAAATTACGTGTGGAGACTACAACGTTAGGTGAAGCGACTAACCCGATCGAATTCGAGAATTTTACACAATTAAAAATACCAGTTCTTTCTACACACAAATACACATCCTGAATTTGAAAAATAATAAAAATTTTAAGTTTAAATACCGATAATTGTTAAGTTAAAAATGTTCTTAATTATAGAAATTTTCTTTAGTAACGTTACATTAGCACCGATTTCTTAAAAATAAATAAATAAAACAATGCCACCTACATATCGTACAAGCCGGAGGCACGCTAGCGGCGAGCTTTTCCAAAGCTTTAGCGGAACGCGGCCAGAACGGCATAAAAAGCGTGCGAAGTTCGTCCTGCGAGGGAAAATCCGTTCGTCGGATAATGCCAATCGACAAAGAGTAACAAAATAAAAGAATAAATGCAAGGTGTCGGTCGCTTGGCGTGTGCGATCTCCTCGAGGGTCGTTCGGCTGGTGCGAAAGTTATTTAAGAGTATGCACCAGGAGATGGTGGTCCAGTAGTGCCTGGTGCTCAGCCGCGTTCGAATACGAGCGGCCGCTGACGACCGACAGACCGGAGCGCACCCGGAGTTTTTTTAAAGAGAGTGGTGTGAACAGATGATATTTGGTGGATACGTAATTGTTTGTTATTGATTACGTACCAGGTCACGATTACAAAAAAAAATATGGATCACAGGCAGAGAAGCGTCGCACCAAATAGCGTAAGTACAAATTCACAAGAAAATCATGATGGAAATGATGTTCGTGCCGTGAAGAAAATTTACACCTAGTTATTTAACAAGGAATACAGACTTCATGAATAAATTTAGTAAACAAAAATAGCAACACTCGGTCGTAAGTTCGTTGACTTACTCTTTAAATTCGATGTTGACTAATTTACGAATGCTATTTTAAAAGTACAATTGTGTGCGTATTTTCTCAAAGTTCTCTTAATAGTATCTATTAATTGAATGTCTAGTCATTGATATAGATAATGTCATGTTAATTGGACCATAAAAAATCATCAATATAAATCACCTCTTTTATGTTGAATCTATTATTAGGAATCATAATAAAACAATAAAATAAAAATTTGCAAAATAGTCTTATGATGTCTAGCCGCCTGAAAATTTTTTGAAAGATACACTAAGTAAAGATTTCTATTGCTTTAAAAAGGTAAAGAATGAAGAGGGAGTACGACCTATTCCACCTGTTAAAGTTTATGGCTTATGGTTAAGAAGCTTGTCCTATTAATATTTTACAAATATGTATAACTTCATCATCATCATTATCATAGGATTGTCAGTCCTAAGACTGGCACCCCCATTTTTTCCTATTCTGAGCGAATCTTCGCATCTCCTAAAACTGTCACAAGCCACAATAAACAATTTTGCCTATTATGTACCATGTACGCCACAATGGAAAAAATAATCCATCTTATCCGGACATTTGTAAATGCTGTCGATAAAAATTTGATATTTTCATTTCTTATGTAACATTGTAATGAAAATTTTATTGGATACACAACATTACTAGGTATAACCATCAAATGATTCTAGAAAAAAACAGTCAATTTCCAAACATAGAAACTGTAAATAAATCATTAATTACATCAGTGCCATGCTAGACAAAGAGTCACTTGATATAAAATAGCTAACGATTTGTTAAGGCTTTTGTTAAAACGCCGATCAACGTAACAGGTAGATTCACACACGTAACAAAGAGAAATATTACCTGAAGAAAAAAAAATAAATATTACATTTCTGTTAATATTAATACGGAAACTTTCACCGTTTTGAGAAAGTGCGACACGTACAGACACACATGTGTAAGTAGTAAGTACATATCTACTCATCAACGACGGGTTGACCTTGACTAAATGTAGGTAACATACCATACTATCTAATATTTGCATTCAGATCCATACAAAATATACCAAATGCAAGCGACAAATAATAAATATAAAATTGTTATCTGTTGGTAATTTTCGCGTTCAGCTTTTCTGGTTTGTTTGTTTACCTTTTCGAGCTTGCCTCACAATTATCACACGGTTTATTATTAAAGGTGTATGTTTGGAGCACGACGCTGTACGGGTGCGAAACATGGACAGTGGGAGCGGCGGAAAAGAAAAGGTTAGAAGCGTTCGAAATGTGGTGTTATAGGCGGATGATGAGGATATCGTGGGTAGAAAAGGTTAGAAATGAAGAGGTATTAGAAAGAATAGGAGAACAGAGGACTCTGTGGAAGTCAATAAAAAATAGGCGAGATAGGTTGGTAGGACACCTTCTTAGGCATGAAGGTCTAGTCAGAGACATATTAGAGACAGAAACAGGAGTTAGGAGGGGTAGAGGTAGACCTAGATTAGATTAGTCTTCGCAAATAGTTAAGGATGTGGGTTGTTCTAGTTTTAGGGAAATGCGAAGTTTAGCTCAGGAAAGGAAAGAATGGAGGTACGTGTCCAACCAGTCTATGTAAATTTTATTTGTTTATTTATTGAAATGGAACGTATTTTTAATGAAGTAATTTATAAAAGTAAACTCGAATTAAACGAGCATGTATCACATAATTTGGAAAAGTTTACTGCAAAGATGTCAACATTTTCACCATATTTTTGGACAATGTTGTCTTGTTCTTGCAAAAAAATAATAACGAGAATGATGTTTCTTAAGGCACAGTAATGATTACGGGCTTATTTCCATATTTTTTATATAACCAACTATAAACTCGAATTTGATGATTATAAAACATGTAATTAGAATGCCTACATATATGCAACCCGCTATACATCCTAATAGACGTTTAGACCCAAGTGAAATAGGTTAAAATATTGATTTTTAATTAGAGATTTTGATAAAACGAAATCATCTTGAAAATCAAAAGTAAGTCAAAGTAATCCTTTCATCATTAATTTTAACATTTTAATCGTCAGCTCCAGAATGTTGTAAGTTATCCTGTTTCTACACATTAATATGATTGCAAGGCAAATTTCTAAAACTCTATACAGTTCTTACTAAAATTTTGGACCATTTTATACACAGCTAACTAAGATTGATAAATACATAGCTATATTAGAGCATTCCTATGTATGATTGGACATTGAATTAATTGGTAGCTTAATCTCTGTTCGTAACTCTATACATATAATATGTAGATTATATTTTAGCTTTATTACGCACAGAAGCATTCAATAAGATAGGAAGAAAACATTTAATTACATCCTGTAATAGATGCTACTAATACAATATACTAAGGTATAAAACGGGTAACATGCCTATAGCCAGTATAACAAAGCAAACGTTGCAGGTCTTTTCGTGTTGAATACACTAATAAAAGCCGTTTGTGCTAGTTTCGAAATGCACCTTGAAATAAAGAAGTTGTTAATAATAGTGAGAGATATATTATTCACCTGTTATAAGAACTTTACAAGTGGTGTACGTTGTACAGATTGGATAACGGAATACCATTAAAAGTAATTTTTAAGAGTTAAATACCAATAATTACCTTTCAGATGGAAACTGCAAACAATAAAAATAACGAGAAAAAACTAATAAGTACATAAATGTGTTAACACAAACGCTGATTATTCTCTGTTATTTAATTAGTTTTTAGTTTTTTTATCCTACATCGGATATTTTCTTTATTTCTTATTCAATGGCCTAAAGCAGTGTTCTTCAACATATGTTCCGCTGAAGTTATTAGGGATTGCACGAGTCAATCCGGCGATTTGAAAGTTATCTAGTGTTCATAACCAAAGACGTTCTCTCCGGTATCATTGTGTCTATCGGAGTCTCATACTAGAAGTTGGAACTAATAATAAAAATACTTATTTAAACGTAAAATTTATTTTTTTGTTTGTATAAATACAATTTTATGTCATATATGTATAAAGTTTTCACATTAAAGGTAATGGTAGAAAGGTATTGTAAAAAAATTATCTCAAAAAACAGTTCCGCGGGGTAATAAACGTTGAAGAGCACTGACGATCTAAAGTATTATGTATTAATGAAAACAAATCCATACGTATGTGGGCGCAGTGGAAAGCAAAACGTTAGAAGATATTTGAAATTTCCTATAATGTTTAAGAATTGTTCCGTTTGGTATGTGTCTGGCTTTGGGAGTCGACCAAGGGTGGCCAAATACTCGTTTAGAATAAACGAGAATGCACTTACTAAAATGCTTTTGAAAGCTTCTAGTTAGAATGTTATTTAAGATCTATTAATTCCCTCAAGTAGAATATTCTAAAGCAGTATTTTTCAAAGTGAGCAATAACGGCCCCTTTGTGGGCGCTGGAGTCCTACAGGGGACGGAAAATACCCTAAAGTCTATTTGAAATGTAAGTTTTAACTCAGAAAAAAGATAAGATTCATATGAGATACTAGAAATATTTAAATTAAAGTAATTTCGGGGAACACTAGAAAATAACAGATTCTCAAACTGGGCGGTAGACGAAAAAAATTTGAGAACCACTGTTCAAGAGTGAGCTGGATTAGAATGATCCACAACGCTCTGGAATATTCTAAGACAATATGTTTGATTAATGGAACTCGGTTCTGACACTAAAATGTACTAAAAAATGTTCTATAATTTTCTGCTGTAACGTTCAATATTTACGAGGGTGGATTGATAAGTTTCCGGCCTAACCAAGAGATGACGCCACTAGGCCTACCTTGAGGTGACATTCTATAGTACCATCCTTGGATAGCTTGTAGCTATAGTTTCAGCCCGATCTCCTTGCTAGTGTAGGTTTGACAGCACG